GAGTATCCCTATTTGTCTAATCTTCAAGGTGAAATAAAACTAGTAAAACAATATTATACTATTGTCTAAATATACAGAAATATAATTTGCTTCAAGTAACAGAAATAACTAGGTCACTAGTAACTTATTTAATGAGTATGTGGGGTATAAGAGCTTGATAACAACAGGCTCTTCATAATAATTTGGTTTGAAAAGGATACTAGTAGTCTATATTCTTGATTTAGAAAAATGTAATTGCAAGAAAAAAATCACATTACTTAAAATACTTTAGATCATTCAGGTAGTCTTTATTTATATGTACAAAAGAACAGCCAGTAGTCATTGGATATTGTAGATCATTCAAATAGTCTTGACCTTTTTATTAGTACAAAAGAACAGCCAGTAGTCATTGGATATTGTAGATCATTCCGGTAGTCTTGACCTATTCATTTGTACTGAAAAAACAGACACATATACGAATATCAATTATATATACGAGACATGTTGCAATAAACTTATTACGGTATGTGAAAATCAAGACTTGCATAAAAAATATCACAATATTAGAGACAGTGGCGTCATTTTTCCTCAGAGCTTTCAGCTCTTTGATTATTGGAATGGACATTGCTTGGACGCGGACCTCAAAGTGGACGCAAACAAGAAATGAGTAAGGATGTAAGAAGGGGATATTTGTATACCTTTCCAGAGACCTTCTGATTTTTTTCGCCAGGAACATATATGTTAGATATACTGTTCCCAGGTGACGCATATTGCGGTCTATATAAATATTGCAAAATTTTATTTGTGTTGTGAAATGACATTGCAGAATAAAAAGTATTGTTACACTGAGCATTTTTTTTTTTCAGTTTCGTTTGGAGCCCCAATCGACTCTATTCCTGAACAGTCTTAGGAACCAGATATAATCAGATTTAGTCTCTATTGACGTCAGAGGAGACAATAAATAAGAACAAAGTGGTACTTAACAAAAATCGAGTGAAAACAATATCTTTTGTTAAGTTATTTTTAGTAAAACCATAGAGGCTAATGAAAAATTGTCAGTATATTGTAAGGCTACAAAGTAGGTTCTACTGAAAAAGATTATAATTGCTTTCTGTATGGCTTGATAATTGTCCACAAGCAACGATAGCTGTGAAAGTGCATTAAGCCATGTTTTGAAGTTAATAAATATATGACAGGGTTATCCAATGTTTCTATTGAAAACATAATCATTATGCTCATTTGAGGTCCGATATGGAATATCACTAAATAGTTATGAGTAAATAGAAAGATAAGAAAACAGATAAGCAATCCGAATTAACAAAAAGGTTTTATTTAATAACCCATTCAATATGTTCACATGCGCATGCTCCAAGCCAGAAACCTCGTTAGTGGTTGTCTTATAACAATAAGATGTGGTATGATTGCAAATGAGACAAATCTCCAATAGGGACCAAAGGACGACGATGTTAACTGTTATAAGGCACTGTCCGGCTTATAACAATGAGAGAAACTTTACCATATAGTAAGCTTTAAAAGGTCCAATTTGGTAGAATTGATCGGTTGATTGTTGGTTGCTTAACGTACAGTGGCAAATATTTCACGCATGTTCAGGACGATTATAGGATTGACAAAATGTAAAACAATTTAAAAGAAAAAACTAACGGTCTGGTTTATGTAACAATAAACGAAAAACGAATAAGACAGACAGCAACCAACTGACAACCAATGTATTACTGGCTCCTGTCTTGGGACAGGCACATACATAATGTGGTGGGGTAAAACATTTTGAGTGGACCTAACACTACCCTTAACATTGGACAAACTCTAAAAATCAGGCTTGATTTTTTTCTAGAATGGCACTGCTAACACATAAAAACCACAACACAAAACCGTGACAAAAACACAAGATACCTCTCTAAGAGTACTATCAAATATGAAAGCTAGCGCAAAGGCAATCCCTACTATTGAATAAATCATGAATTTCCATACTAAATTTCAATCAGTACATATCCAATAGATTTAGATTTCACAAACAGCCTAAGGAAAACATGACCTCGTGCGATGCCAAAATATAAGCACCGGCCAGGATGGTTCACACTTTGTCTTGACAGGTCCTTTTACAGCTGACTATCCAATACAGGTTTTGTTCATTGTTGAAAGCCGTTTGGTGAGCTATATATAGTTGCTTAAATCCGCTTTATTTGGACTCTGTTGGATATTTGTCTAATTGACATTCATTCCACATTCCCTTATTAGGTCTTTCCACTTTTCGGTGGAAAGACCTATTGTATTTGTTCTGATTATTATTGTTATTATTATTATTATTATTTTTTTTTCTTCCGCCAAATTTTGTTCTTGCGATAAATATTTGTTTCGCAATATGTCGCTTAGATATTTCCCATATTGTATCGTATAGTTTATGCGCTTTTAAATTTCACCCTGCTAAGCCGAACCATTTTCTTTGTAAGAGTTATCTCCCTATTTACTGTTTATCATCTGTGTACATCTCCTTCGTAACAAAAAAAGATATCGACAAAATTCTTTTTCTAAATTGTGTTACATCCTCAGGAATTTTTGCCTAATTTGGATCGAAGCGATCCAGTGAGATCTTAAAGGAGTTATCTGCCTTTACCAAAATGTTAGTCGCGACATGATATAACTGGAAAGTTTTTGTCAAAATGGTACGCGTCATTGTTTTAGGGGTTCCATGCCACTGAAATAGTAAAATGAACAAAATGAACTAATTATAGCCTCAAACTTTGCAGCTATCATGATGTATACATGCATCTTATCTTAATTTATTCCTGCAACTCCAGACATATATATTCGAGCGTCACGTGACTTCAAAACATCATCACGCGCGCGGACCTAAAATTAGAATAAAACATTCGAGATCCATATCCAAATATGGAAAGTGAAACTTCCAAGACAAAATGTTACTCATTTTTTTTCTTCCTACAAGTTGAAACAAAATGTACACACAACACATAAAAGAAACCATGTTCTCGTAGCAAATAGAGAAAATTAGAAAAAAAAGAAGATGTTAGGATTTTTATTTATTAGGAAATCCTGAAGCTTTCCGTTTGGGAGTGCTGGATATACAAGTACGCAGCCTCGTCAGAATATGAACGTCAAGTCCGATGCCTCGCATAGAGAGAGTGTCATGCAAACTTTCAATCAATCAATCAATCAATCAATCAATCAATCAATCAATCAATCAATCAATCAATCAATCAATCAATCAACCAACCAACCAACCAACCAACCAATCATGTTTCGGAGGGGAAAGACCGTTTAACAATTGTTTTTAAAACAGTTGATTTATATTTTTATATAGATATTGTGAAAGAGAAAAATAGCAGCTTTACTCAATTCATCAGTAAGGGTATCTAGCATTTTTACTTATTACAGAAGAAAGTTTTGTACCAGTTGTAGCACTTCTGTTTGATAGGATTGTGTGGAAGGAAGTCAAGTGTAGAAAATCGACACAATTTTCAACCGAATTTAAATGACGATCAAAAGAACGATATTGAGCTAAAACATTCAAATAATGTTTTACATTCCAAAAAAAATTAATTCCATTATTTCATTTTTTTTATTTCAAAACTTTATAATTAGGTTTTTAATTGTAATCAAGGAACTAATTAAAAGCACAGAAAGACTTTGTCAATTCTTTATGTTTTATTGATGTTATTGTGATGTGGCAATCCACCAATATCCATACCTCGGAGTAGAATTATCAGAAGATCTCAATTTGGATCCACATATCAAGAAAGTAATCACAAAATCAAACCGAGTACTAGGATTCCTAAGATGCAACATCTGGAAATGTCCTTAAGACATCAAAGCGCAGACCTATACATCGCTAGTGCGCCCACATCTTGAGTACGCCTCTGCAGTATGGGATCCATATCGAAAACATCACATTGACTCCCTAGAAAATTGTCCAAAGAAGACCTGCCAGATTTGCGACATCAACATACAGTCGAAAACCAGGGACAGTTACAAACATCCTGAAAACCCTAGAATGACAGACACTAGAATCTAGACGGAAATCCAGTAGATTGAGCATGTTCTACAAAGCCACATGGAAAGGCGGCAGTCACCATACCATCATACGTGAGGAGACCATCTACCTCAACAAGACAATACCATCCAGAAAAATTCACTCAGATCAGTACCTCCACAGATGCCTACAAGTACAGCCATATACCACGCACCATCACCGACTGGGACAGCCTGCCTCTCGAAGCCTTCCAAGCTACATCCCTGGAATGCTCCAAGGAGCAACTTCGGAGACTGCAGCTGTAAACAGAAACCACCCGTTTTTATCCAATTTTGATTGCACTTGTAATACTGAGCACGCAGGTTGACGTTTGCACAGCAGTATCTGTGTTATGGATTTCCACTGCAGATCAATAGTATAGATGTATAGATGTAGATGTGGCATATGTTAGTTTCTATTATATATATTTTCAAGTAAAAACTTTGGATCGAGATCTTTAAAAAAGAAAACACTATAATTCTTAAAAAAATAGGTGTTCCTAAAAGCAACATATCGTAACGGAAGTATTGAATCTAGGAATATTTAGACGACTGTTATATGACCCTAAATTGACAACCTATGATCATATGGGATTTTGGAACACAAAAAGAACAGATACAAAAGGTAGTAAATTAGATACTTATTTCAAAATAAAAGCTTGTTTTTCTAAAGAAACTCATTTATCATTAAACAAGTTCGATTGAGAAGTGCCATATGTAAAATCATAATCAGTGACCATGATCTCAAAACAGAAAGAGACATATATAAAACTTCATATATAAAAAGAGATCCGAGGCTTTGTAAGTGGTTACAAGAGCGCAATTATTCGTAATGCATTTTCCATAGGGTACCAGTGGTGTTCCGTATTTTTTTTCTTGAAGACTACACAAACTAGGGAAAAACGGGTAGCAGTTCCTGTTACTAGAAATGCCAGTGTTGCATTACAACCAAAAAAATATATATGGTCATGCATGCGGCAAAAATTGACTTAAAATGCAGTTGAAAAAGATCGTCTATTTTTTTCGCTTAATGAAAAAGGCATATTTTTAATGGCCCTGACGTGCAGAAATGGAAGATATTTTCTATACTTTGCAAAATGTGAATTTGATTTTCTGGATTTTTAAAACCTAATTGGTTAAGCTTTCGATTAAAAGTAATTCCAATTCTGTATCATCCAATCAGAAGCCGTACAGGATTCTATTCTGAGTACCATCTCGGGGTAAAAAACTTGCAGGTAAAATATAAACAAATAACTGCGCTCTTGTAACCAAGTAAGTGTTAGAGAGAGATACTTTTCAAAGAGATAAACAATATTTGTCATAACTTTTCAAATCCCTCAAACGCAAAATTTGTTTGGTTATTTACTTATGAAAATTTGTCTGTTCTAAAATATTTTAATTTTAGGGAATTATATGATTAAATGTGTAGATGTTAGACGAAACGTGAAATAATACACGTACGATGATTATTGTAACTATTTTATGAACCAGTAGAACAAAGGGGAATAACTCATTTCACGTTGTGGTAATATTAAATAAATTAGGTATCCCCGCTAAACATATGCTACTTTATGATTGAACACAAATAAGATGAGTAAATAAAAGCTTTATGTTCCTTCAGTAAATATTACATAGTGAAACAATCAATCCATTTGTTGCCAGGTGTTAAGAAAAAGAACAGATTAGTCAAATAATCACATCTTACAAGTTGTGAGGTTCTCCATCTTTCCAGAGATCGATTTAGCAAGTTCCAGAGGAATTGATTTTCACGTATTTGCCTCTAATTCTCTATTCTCAAATCCCAGTATTAACTCCGATGAAATGATTTTTTTTTTTTTACATTGCTCATAAATTCCATGCCCCATTCCTCTTCCCTTATCTGAAAACCTTGTTACTTGTTAAGTGAAGTTGTGGATACAAAATGCCCACCACCATTTCTTAATGCTATGGGAATCCCCCCCCCCACAAAAAAAAAAAATCAAAGAACAAAAATTCATTCGGATAAACAGGTGATGCACAATGCCATTAGGTACTATCTATTATCTTTAATATTAAAGAAAGATATACGGATACAAAGTGTGGATGGACGGATGAACATGGTCATCACTCTCACGATAGTTTCTCTGTTGAAAACAATGAAATCGAAATACACATCACCATTGGCTCAATTCTTTTCCGTTTATGTTGATTTTTTTCCAAAGTTGTGTTAATTTATTGATAGACAAACAAGAAAATAGGTCTAGTCACTTTTATGCCATAATGTCACCTGCGACGTCACTTTGATATCACAAACATTTCAAAATTGAAATATTTAATATAAAATTACCAGTAATTAACACTTTTAGTGTGTGGTAATTAGAATATGATAATACCCGGACCCTGGAAGTATTATATTGACAATTGATGATGTAGGGTACCGCAATCTGCCGAGTTTCCCCCCCCCCCCCCCCCCCCCCCTCAGTTTGCAAGAGGTCTAAATGATAAACCAAATACTAGTATGTAAGACAATATTGAAAAAAGTACTGATATATATGACACACTACAAGGAGGTGTGGTTTGATTGCCATGGAGTCCAAATGACTGGCGTATATTTTACCGTACGGCCTTCAACAAGGAGCAAAACCCATATCTTATAGTCAGCGATAAAAGGCCCATGCATGATTAAATGTGAAACAATTCAATCAAAAAAATATACATTGATTTTATATTTTACATTGAGATTACAGGGCACATGTGAACTAGCTTTCAGTAATCGCGACTGAGTAGTCTTAATATATGAACTTTAAGTTTTTGTGTTTATGTTGTTTTTGTCTGTTTCATGTCGCCGCGTTCTTATTTGCCTATCCCAAGTCGGGTGTCCTTGGTTCATTGATACTCTGTCATATTTGTTTTCGTTTATTGTTTTAGTATAAATCCGGCCATTTTTTTTCTCTTTTGAATTCTTTATTTTGTCACCATTACTTTGTGATAGCTAAACATATACAACAATACAAGCGGATTTCTTTTCTTCGCTTATTTTTATTTGGGGATGGGGTGACATGCTTGTCAAATGAAACTCTTTTCTTTTGTACATCTTGAGGACTTTTGTGATAAAGAGACAGATCAATCTTATTAAAATTTCATTATCATAGGTTCAAATATGTGTATTTTAAAGTTTCAACATGATAATGTCGTCATTCTGAACTTATATCTTCATCATAATGCCTAATGAAATATGACCAAAAACTTCAATTTTTATATTTCGTTCAATTTCGAGTATTAAATCGAACAATGAACAAGATGGAAATTCCTAGCTAAAATCAAAATTCGTTCAGAAGTAAAGTATTGTTTTTTTAATTGTAGTCAACGTACAAATTAATTGTTTTTGGTTAAGGATTTCCTATAAAAGTTGCAATATTTTCTCGAATTCTCTTCAACAGCAATATATAGCGATATATTACATTTTTTTAGATGTGCCAGTAAATTGTTTCAAAATACTTTAAATATTATGTAGTATTAAGACTCTTTAATATTCATTTGCAATATATTTGATTAATTTTCAAACATTTACTCCGTGAAAGAGTTTTTTGAAGGATCTTGTGTTTTTGTCGAATTATATTTATATATATATCTCAAGTCTTGCGTGCAAGTCTATCAACATTTATCTTTCTTTGTACCACAAAAATAAATATATGTTTTGTAAAGGGACGTCATGGGAAATTTCCACATCGTATCATGCTATTTCCATTTAAAAGTATATATGTCACCGATTTTTTTTTAAAGAGTTTAATTTGAGCTACAAGCTTACGCATACCAACAAATGAATCATACCATCCTGCAATATGCCAACTATTGTACAAATGACAGATATACACAACAAATGAATCATACCATCCTGCAATATGCCAACTATTGTACAAATAACAGATATACACAACAAATGAATCATACCATCCTGCAATATGCCAACTATTGTACAAATAACAGATATACACAACAAATGAATCATACCATCCTGCAATATGCCAACTATTGTACAAATAACAGATATACACAACAAATAAATCATACCATCCTGCAATATAACAACTATTGTACAAATAACAGATATACACAACAAATAAATCATACCATCCTGCAATATGCCAACTATTGTACAAATGACAGATATACACAACAAATGAATCATACCATCCTGCAATATGCCAACTATTGTACAAATAACAGATATACACAACAAGTAAATCATACCATCCTGCAATATGCCAACTATTGTACAAATAACAGATATACACAACAAATAAATCATACCATCCTGCAATATGCCAACTATTGTACAAATAACAGATATACACAACAATTTTTGGGTTTATTTATAATTTACACAAATAAAGTATCCTGCAAGTTTGTCTGCTTCTATTCTTGAGAGAACGGCAATGTTAAAACGTAGTTGTTTACGTCACAATACATTTGAGGTTCTCTTCGCAGACGGCGTTTTAGCCTTGTCAATTTCTTTGAAATTCAACGACAACGGTTAAGAATTTAGAAAAAAAAAACAAAAAAAAAAAACAAACTAAACGTGAAACAGTTTAAATCATATTGCAGGATAAAACAATATACACTGTATGTACAAGTTCAAGGAAAATATAAAAAAAATAGTATTTCTTATGAGCTTAATTTAGAAACTGGACAAGATCACTTTTCTTCCTGCTTCAATTCAATGTTTTATTTTCCGACAATGTTCAACTATATTTTATCCTGCAATTTCACGTTGACGCTTTTTAAAAGGGGTTGATTTAATTTCTAATTCCAAAACGTTGTTATTGATTTTTAGAAATCAACGTAACTGTAACGCGGACCGCGAAGACGACCCCAAAATTCTGACAGCGGCCTAGGAACTTCTGTACTTTGTGAGTAAACATATACATCGGGGAGCCGAAACAAAAATTTAAAAATATGACCCCTTTAAATCAGCCAAAATCTGAAACTGGTCAATCATCAAATTAATTATATTTAGACAGTTCAATCAGGTGATATTATTTCTTAGGTATTTAATCCTATAGCTAGGCCTTTGATGAGGAATAAAAATTTATACAAATTAAACAGAAAATTGAAAAGTAAATCCAAGATGTAATTTGTATTCTGGCTGCTTCACTTACATCTCTTGACACGTTTGGTTTCAGTTTCATTATGTTTAACATGTTTAAGCATGATAGACTCAAATCGTAACCAACTTACTTGACAGCTTTTCTAGATTTAAACCAAGTTATCTTTCTTTCATTGCTAACTATCGTAGTTGGCAAAAGGTCGGTGTGCTCCAATGTGCCATTTTTTTGTTGCATAGATATCAGTGATATTATATATGCACCAAATTAGTTAATGTCCAATACTGCATGTATGAGGATTACTATGGCTATCAAATCTGGTAAAAACAGCAAAGTTTAGAAATATTACTACTAAATTTACAATTACTAAATACTGAGTTTAACAGTGCAACTTTGACCATCGAGATATCGTTAGAAATATTAAGTCTGGTGAAATTTAAACTGCCACAAAGAAATCGTAGTCGGAGATATCATTGTTGACAAAATTTACCAAAACTTTTGCATTTGGTGCCCAAATTTGTCTTTTTTCTATGACATTTGACCATTTTAAACAAAAGATATAACAAATTGATAGAAACGCAAAATAACTGACTTGCTTTACTAATAGCTTACACAGTAAGTAGTATTAATTACTTTGTGTTCATCAAAGGAATAAGACTTCTTCAAAATAGACAAGCTAAGGATATAACAATAACAGAAGTTTATATATGATGCCCACTATTCTGATTTTCCAAGAGACCACAGGTGCTTAGGTCATGGACTTTTATTTTTTTTTTGGGGTGTTTTTATTTTCTTTGATTAGATTTTCTTTACTATTTTAACTTATTATTACTTATTAATGTGTTCTTGCTTCTATCCATAGGATATTACAATAACATTAGTTTATGTATGATATTTTGCAACTGTAACCATGCTTGCTATTCCTCATCACTGTTTTAAAAAAGTTTTAATCCAGAGTTTTATCCGGTAATGTATGTTATCAAAGACAGTTCACACATGTTATTGTATATTAGAAAAAATATATTTCTATGACATTTATATGGTTAAAACAGGTAATTTGAAATCATACAAAATCCCTATAGGAATATTTTCAGTGATTTTTATAAAATTCCTTACATTTTCAGGGATTCAACAAAATTAATGAAACTGCTAGTTTTTTTAAAATCTCATAACTGGGATTTGTCAAATCTGATTAAAATTAAGATCTATCGCAACTCGCGTGCTCATCTGAGCATAACGAAATAAGAGGTATATATTTTAAACAGAAAAGCGCTTCGGACGCATAAATAACGCGTTAATTCCATTTTTTTACAGCGCTTGTTCGATACCTCTGCTGGTGGACTATCAGTCCCCGAGGGTATCATCAACTCAGTAGTCAGTAGTAAGATTTATATCAAACATTTCTAAAATTGTCCGTTTATAAATTTTGAAATTATAAAGAAACTAAGGTGTCAACTCCATCAGGCAAAGTTGACCTTAGATGGATTTGGCTATTTTTATGTCTTTTTTGTTCATAAAGCTCTTCAGCCGTTTCGGTTCTTATATATCGTTGACTTTCAAATATTCGGATTTGAGCGTTCCTGATGAAAGTAAATCCAGAAAAGCGCTTTAGACGCATAATATTTATAACATTTTGTTTTCAATTTTGAAAAATATTGGGATTTGACAAAATCCCGGGCGCATGACGTTTGCGCTTTTTTAATTGTAACACGAAAGGACATTTGCGCTCCAAACATTATGGACATTTGCACTTTTAACCTATAAAAGTTTACCTGTAATCTTAACCAAATTCTCATGGAATTATTAAAACTATCCCCCCTCCCCCCCAAAAATAAAAAATAAAAGAAGGAATTCTGTTGAGTATTGGTAATTGAGGGAAGTAACCAAACAACTACCAAAGGAAAAGAACAACATTAAGCTTTATATATAGATATATGAATTTGCCGTGTTTGGGTTTTAAACAATTCTCAAAAGATTCATCATCATGATAACTCCAATTTTATGTTGATAAAGCGCAAATGTCCTAAAAATTAAGGGGCAAATGTTCTTTATAAAATGCGCAAATGTCCATTATAAAAAGCGCAACTGTCCTATAAAAACGCAAACGTCCCGCGATGAGTATTGGCGCATGCCGTGTTATATATATTAACCAATTCGTAAAAGTTTCACCACGCTAACTCAAATGTTATGTTGATAAAGCACAAATGTTCAATAGCAAAAGCCCAAATATTCTTTTTGAATAGACACATATGTCCTAACAATTAAAGCGCACATGTGTATTTAAAAAGCCGCATATGTCCTATCAAAAAGTGCAAACGTCCCGCGTAGAAAATCCTTGATTTTACAAATTCCTATAACATATTCATACGAGAGGGATTTACGTGTGTTCACCTCGTGAACCTATCTTTAAATCGTGTCTTTTGCAATTCAACATTTTAAAATAATTGATACACTTTTACAAAATTGAATTCAAAATGTGAAATATCTTTAAGATACTGATTATTTTATTTTTTGAAATGGGTGTCCTTCTATGCAAAATTTAACGACAAGGCATATACAGTTTGCAATATTCTATCACAAGTGTCGACAACAATTTGTAGGTCTAAATCATACTTTGGTTTGTATTGGTACTTGTGAAATGTTGAGAAATCCCTCTAGGATCTGCTTACCCTTCTTGAGTACCTAATGTCACCCCCGATTTTGGTGGGGTTCGTGTTGCTCAGTCTTTATTTTTCTATGTTGTGTTTTGTATACGGTTGTTGATGTTTTTGTCCTTTTATTTTTTAGCCATGGCGTTGTCAGTTTATTTTCGACTTATCAGTTTAAATGTCTCTTTGGTATCTTTCGCCTCTCTTTTATGATATCGATTAGAGTATTTAATCGTAAATTTCCATTAATTTCTACTTCGTGAATGAAACGAAAACATAGGAATTTGACATCATATTTAACCATTTTTGCAAAGATTCCGAAACGTGAGGAATAGATACATTTGATTTAAAAGCTGTAGTTAAACAACACCATACTATTTTAGCTTTTCAAGCAATTCGTTGATTATTTTTTCACTCTTAACGAAGAAAGGTGTGGAGAACCTTCTCCTGGGATAACGGCAACTAATGAGGTTTAACGTGAGACACGAGTTAAACACCTTAAATAATAGCTAAAACATACCAAGTACAATAGATCAAAGATTTAACTGCAAAAACGAATTCCATTATTGAAATTAACACATCTGGAACATAAAATATTACCAGGAAAGCCAAGGGTATTACCAAATTTTACAATACCTCAAGAATATAGCAAAATATAAAAATGGGAAAATTAATATCTCACATACTAAATATTTTCTGTTTTAAATCATCAGCTGTTTTTTTTTCTTTTTCAGAAGTGCCTATAACAACATTTTTAAAATATGGAAGAACATACATTTTCAAGCAAAAAGTGTATTAGACTTCTAATAGCATGAGCCGCGAAGAACCTCTAAAAAAGATAAAGTCGGATCCTTAGTTTTAGGTAAAAACTGTAATCTATTACACTATTAATTCATCAGATTAAAACAGAGTATCAGTATAGTCTGTCAAACCGCTTAGTAACTAATCTAACTCGTGCCACAAGTTTGAATTCTTGCTTTGTGTTTCAATCAATACAAAATAATTCTTGCACATGATTTATTTGTTTTTAACACAGTTTGATTTAGAAGGAAAACCGACTTGGTTAGAAAATACAATTAATAACACCATTACTAACACAATTCTATATTAATATTCTTGTAATTGTTAGAAAATACATCAAATAACACCATTACAAACTTAATCCCGATTTTATATTCAATTTTTAGAAATTTACCTGTGACGTCACTTTTTGTGGCGTTAGTACATTCGTGTGACGCACAGTTCATAATTCTATTATGCTGTATTTGTGTACTGTCGTAAATTAATTTTAGGTGTTCATTGTTATTCTGTGGTTTACATGTCGAAATGTACTATTATATTATTTATTTATTTATGTATTTCTCTGCCCTGAGTGTTCTTGCATTTATTTGTACGGTATTTTTAACATAGCCATATAAGCGGGAGGTTTGGCTAGCCATAAAACCAGGCTCAATCCACCATTTTTTCTTAAAATGTCCTGTACCAAGTAAGGAATATGGCAGTTGTTATCAAATAGTTCGTTTCTATGTATGTTGCATTGGCGTTTGTTTTTGTTGCACTTCAGTGTTTCTGTTGTTCCGTTGTTTTCCTCTTATACGGTAGTTGATGTGTTGTCCTCGGTTTTAGTTTGTAACCCGGATTTGTTTTCTCTCAATCAGTTTATGAATTTTGAACAGCGGTATACTACTGTTGCCTTTATTTATATGACCATGTTATTACAAGGGACTTCTACATCGTTCAATACCGAGAGGTTATAAACTTTTGGAAGAAATAATGGACCGAAAAAGTGTTTCCAGCTAATAAAATATGCTATATATCTTATAATTAAAATTGGTGTAAATGAGAGAAATCGAATAACAAACCACGTGATTCTTTTTTCAATAACTGTATGAATATTATGATTAACGAATTAATAGAATGTATAAAATACGTTCGTTTCAAAAGATACGAAATAGACTTCAAGTTCTCGGAAAACGTTTTGTGTTTAAACCGGTTGACAAAGCAGCCAGCAATGTGGTGGTGGTATGACGTAAATAATACAAGGACGTTATCAATAATGAAATTATGAATTATTCTATATTCAACGACGTACGCTTAACACAGAGTAAAATAGTGGAAATTCATATCACCAGGACATCTCAGCTTAAGGCCTCCTCTGAACATTCGTTATCGAAATTTAAAAAACATCGTTTCATCTCGGCTTTTACATGTTAAAGTAAGTGCTCCACAACTAATCTTTTAACAAGTTTCCGGACTACTTTTAAAGAAATTTTTGTACGACTTTGTAAAAAAGCATACATAGTATTACATGTTTAGATTTTTGAATTCAGGCTTGTTGTATATCTATGTTGCATATTTACACAATTTGGGCCGCTGGATCTCGATTATTGTAACGTTAAAAAAATAAAATATGTCAGCATAACGGAACTATAAACAGCTGTCATAATAGTCGGAGGTTTAGCTAGCTTAAAAACCAGGTTTAACTCATTATTTTGTTCGGAAAATGCCTGCGCCAAGTCAGGAATATGACATTTGTTTTTCGTTTTTTTATTACGTTTGATTTTGTCAGTTGTTATAGACTTTCCCTTTTTCAATTTACCTTGGAGTTCAATAATTTTGTTTTACTTTTTTTATATAGTCGGAGCATAGTTTTTGTCAGGTTTTATGGACTTTTCCTTTTTTAATTTACCTTGGAGTTCGGTTTTTAGTTAATACATTATAAGTTTTCTTATTTTTTTAAAATGGTGCTTCTAAAATCTGAAATCACAACTTTATTTGCTTCACTTATATGAAATCATCTATTATCACTACAAAAGTCTAAAAGTCTGAAAAGACCAGTTTTTGTCTTAATTTGCATGAACTTTTACTCGAAATTCTCCAAAAGTATGACTTGTGTCTTAATTTTTCTTGACAAATTCTCATTTATATTTAATTTGTATGAAATTTACTCGACATATTCTCGACATTCTGAATATGGTCTTAAAATTTCTTGACAAATTCTTGACATTTGAATACTGTCTTGAAATTTCTCGACATATTCTCGACATTCTTATTTTTTCTCAGTATGGCTTGACATATTCTGAACATTTTGAATCGTGTCTTAAATTTACTTGACAGTTCTGAGTTTTACAAATCATGACCAATATTCATGATATAACTTTAATCTTTATTTCTCTTTATATGATATACTGTTGTTTCAGGTTACACTTCTTTACAACAAAAATAAAAGTTGGGCATGTAAAATAATTGAAAATTTGGGTATATAAATATTTTTACAAATGCAAATATGGCTATGAAATCTAAAGTATAAAATAATTCAAATGTGGGTGTGTTGATATAAAACAATTTCAATGTGGGTTTTTAAATAATTACAAATTTTGATTCCTAAATCTTATAAATTAAATGATTCAAACCAATCATACTGTAGACATATTTCATTCTACATTCATAATATTCAATGTTGATATGGTAAATAATTATTATACCAAAATGTGGTTTATTTAAATAGCAAATTATGATGATATACAAATCATTCATTTAACAGAAGAAAAATTTGTGTAATGTCATCTGTTGGAATATATTAAGTATTACACATGGACAGGATGTTCCCCATAAAATTAAGGTATTTCACACCCCAGAGTACAGGCAACTGTCAAATAGAAATTATTGCTTTACCTGTAATCAGCCATACAACTTATCAATTGACCGACCATGCCACTACAATTTAAAAAGTTTGTTGATAGATGAAAATGAAAATCATCATTTTGATGAAAAAAAATTGAATTGAAATGGATTTTCTTCATCAAAATTATGAAGTTAATTATTTTAACATAAAAACAAATTGAATAATTCCCAAAGATTAAAAGAAAATTATTATCTACTCCAGGAATAATAAAAAAAAATGTATTTATAATGGGTCCAATCAATGATTTCTATAGAAATCATCGGTCTTATGAAATGGTTCTCAAACAGACATGCATAATATAGATCTAAACATTTTTTTCTTTTCAGGAAGGAGTTATCACAAATATTTATTTTTGATAAAATATTCTAAAATTCAACACTCAAATTTGAATAAAAAATGTTTTTGGGTAGTTCTAAAAAAATAATAAAGTGTTTGAATCAAGATGGGAACAAATTCTTTGACCTAAACGAAAGCCCCCCCCCCCTCTTTTTTTAGCCACACAAACCCAAAAGATGAATTGTGGGGTCCAAAAGAGATACAAGACACCTATTTTAGTAAAGCAAATTTGACTGGCAGTTTTGCGAACGGCAAAAATCTAAATGCTGTTTGTCAATACCTTCGACTTATATTCCAAGTGAAAACAATTACTTAAATGTTTAATAAAAATAAATCAAAATTAAACTACATGGGGGATTATTCAGGGTATTCCAACTTAGTTGCACCAAAAGGATATCTTACTATACCAAATTAATCCTTGATTCTTCAAAGTTTAGTTTAGCCATAATAAAAAGGAGTATACAACAGCAATAGAATGTCATAAACAGTACAGAATAAGTCTGTTCACATTTCAGGCGAAATTTATACTGTTGAGATAGTGTCAAGACATATTTAAGACTGTCAAGAATGTGTCGAGACATATTCAAACATTATTTAGAATGTCAAGAATATGTCGAGACATATTCAGACATTATTAAGAATGTCAAGAATATGTCCAGACAGATCGAGACAAATTTGAGACAGTCAAGAATTGGTCGAGACTAATCCAGACTCTTATCAGATGATACAGGAAGTGTCGAGAAATTTTAAGACAATGCTCATACTGTCAAGACACTTGTCAAGAAAAATCAAGAACCTTATTAGACAAATTCATACTATGTCAAGAATTTTTAAAAATTATTCAGACAAATTAAGAATGTCGAGTAAAAATTCATGCAAATTCAGACACAAACTGGTCTTTTCAGTCTTTTTGACTTTTGTAGTGTATACAATCGGGAACTGTGATGAGTTGATCAAAGCCGTCAACTTCTCCTCCACTGCATACATGTACGCGTTTTGCCGAGTAAGTTAATCGATGGGTTGTAGTATGGTTAAACTCAGTAAGGACCCATCTTAATTAAATTAAAAAAAAAAAAACAGTGATAACACATTCAGCTACCTTGATGATATTTTTGCTTTATAAGTAATACAGAGTTTTATAATTATACGGCGGAATTTATCACAAAGATCAAACTATAACTAATGTAATAGTAACAGCAATGATTTTTAATATTTCTGTTTCACCGGGGAAACTATCTACTAAAACTTTAGACAAACGAGACCTCTTCGTTTACTTAGCTGGTTCGCTATGCCCATGTATGCAGTGATGTTTTAATGAATCGTAACATATGTACAACTGAATAATTATAAAGTCACAGATTTCGTGACCACAAATTACTTAAAACACTTGCCAAATTCTTTCATAGATTTAATTTGGAAGATAACTGCAGCTTTCATTTTATAACAAATATGATATTACATCATGTTGTTTGAAGAGGTCGTTAGTTTAAATTAGAATACAATTATTCCTAAAGGTTTATCAACTTAGCATTGTATTATGATCTTTGAATATTGTCGGTATCGATACTAACATTAATATTTTTTTAAATAATTTTATGCATAACTAAACATATATCGTTATCTACATGTTATCAACTATGCCCTGTCGGTACTTTTATTTCGGCATTGTGCATAGCCATGCCTTTCCTGGGCTACTTCTGACGTCTCCACACTATATCCGTCGGAGGTTTACTGATTGACATTGTAGTCTTGAAGAACATGATTTTTCTTATCAATTCATTTTCCTAATCTCAACCAAGAGGCAGGTTCGAACGTTCTCCATGCTTTCTCGAAATGCTCCG